TAGCAGTTCTCAAAAGTAGGTAAATACAACCTCAGATGAATAACAACACATGACATATTACACCATGTCATAATGTATTTTACAAAAATTTATAAATTTCCTGATACGTAAAACCATAGAACTCAGAGGTTGTACTTTCTTGTTCACAAGATTGTACATATTTAGATGAGATGATTTTACTAACTAATTGGAGTTTTCAATTTCTGTTTCATTAGCATCACAGTGTCACAGAAAGCTAGTTTATACCTCATAAAATGTGTAATTTCACACTCTATTACAGAATCATAGAATCAAAAGATTGGGAATGGCCCTTCCAGATCATTTAATCCAACCCCTACTGTGATTTACACAACTAATTTCATAATATATTTTGATAGAGTTGTAATATTGTTATCCAAAATAAATTTCAGTTGGTCACCACTCTGATTTTTTTCAACTGGGAATCCTATACATGTTTTCTCAAAATTAAGTATTACTATATTCAGTGGGACTTATTCCTAAGTAAATGTTTATAAATAGTTTAGCCTTAGTTTACTTTAAAAAAACACTTTAGTAAATCTGTTAAATCTAATATTGATTAGTCCTCAAAGCCTATTAAATAATATGTTTACAAGAGCAAATGTATGTTATTCAACCACCTTTACAGCCGCCTTAATTTCAGGATTAAAACTAATATATTTCTTAGGTGCAGACACATTTAGATCCAACATACTGAAAAACAGAAAACTCTTAACAGATTCTCCCCAAATAGACCCAGGAACTTTATTTATTTATTATAATTTTTAAACTGCCCAGTAGCTGAAGCTATCTGGGCAGGTTACAATAATGAACAAATATGAATAAAAACATATGCAGTAAATAAAATACAAAATGAAAACACCATAAAAACTAGGCAGCAGCAATGTGGTCATTCATACTCTAAAACAATATGAATTAAAATATAATTAAGAACCAATTTAAAAGCCTGGGAAAATAGAAGGGTCTTCACCTGGTGCCAAAATGATGCTAATGTTGGTGCCAGTCAAGGCTTTCTGGAGAGAGAATTCCATTAATGGGGTTCCACCACACAAAAAAAGCTCTCCTAATGTTATTAGTATAACTTTAATCATATGGCAAGTACCTTCAACAGCATCAATTATTCTGAAGACGTTGACTATAACTATGATATTTTGACTCCGATACATGTAATATGGAAGCTCACGTTTTCTGCAGTAAGGGACAGTTCTATATGTTGATCCAGAAAAAAGAATATTTTAAATTCCATGTATCCTTCAGGAACATTATGTTATTTAAAACCCCAGCTTTGCAACTGTGTTTGCAATAGCAAGGGAAAATTGATAAATCACCCTCAATATTTGTGTATTATACTTTTTGCAAAGCTGCAAAAGTAGCTTTCATTAGCACATCAGGAAACAGTTGCTATTAAGAACAAGTGTACTCTTACTATATAAAAGGATGGGTAGCAGTTACAATGTCTACGTTTTATGGAGTATCAGCAACACAAAAATCAGATGAAGTCTGTCCAAGACCTGAAACTAATTCTACAATGCTTGCATTTACCTGAGAAGCAGATGATTTTCCCCCAAATCATTTACTTTTTAAAAGGAAAAATCTTCAAGTAGCTGAGGATACATTAAAAGATGCGTTAAACCCCTGAAGGAGCAATATAGACCCAAGTTGCTTAGTTATTAGCTAGTTATTTCTTATAGCAACTCCAAATCACGGAGGAAAGAAATGCTGACAGATTTTTAAAAGTTGCTGAAATTACTTGCAGCTTGTGCCAGTTTCTTTCTTGTGATTCTGCTTTCAGAATTATTTCTCTAAACAGTTCTCTAATTAGCTATAAGAAAAATCACAAGGGCTCAGAGTTTGAGGGTGTTTCCCATCAAAGCTTTTGTTGCACAAATCCTTTAATTTATGAAAATGTAGGCACATCTACTTAGCATCTTGTAAGTTTATAACTCTTTTTCTATTATTTCTTCCTTTCTTTCCATGGTAAATTTGTTGAGGAAGGAAATATACCTCTTCAGTGACTTTGGCTAGTAAGCTGAACTATTGAACTGTGATTAACACATTGCATTCAACCTCTGCTTCATTTGGACTTTCCTAGAATGGTGTGAATTGAACCACTGTGGTTTGCAAACTATGGCTGATGGCTTAATTTATTATGTGAGCCAGGGAAGTAAATATATATTTAATATAAAGCAAGATTTGAGAGACCACGGATTAATACAATGTATGAATTCAATGCCTTGATTCTAATTGATTTGTGAGCACCAGATTCATCAAGATCTGGAGTTCTTGGATGTATTTCTTAGCATTGTGAGCCTACAGGTGTTTATGAGTTAGATAGATAGATATATATCATATAAATATATAAATGTAAATATAAATATAAATAGTAGCTGTTAAATTTAGTAGAGCTTACTCTCTTGTATTATTGAAGTCATAAGATAAAATCCTGACAGCCTACACTAAGCTGTCACCACATGACAACTGAAGACACCACTAGTGGAACTGTATTTCCACTGAAAATATATGTGAAAATATCTTGGAATAGCTGAAATGGAGCATAGTCTTGGGCAGAACATCAGGATCCCAAAGAAGCACAATGATGCTGTATCTTCTATACACACTTACACTTCAGTCAACAACAGCTCTGGATGAAAGCCTTTCCCATTGGAGTCTGAAGGAATAGAAAAGATCAATGAAAAGCCAAAAATCATTGCTGCCATATCCATGTCACCATAATAAAACATAGGTTGTGATGTAACGCAGCACTCCATACCATTTTTTTTTTTTTTTGCCTTTGAGTCAGTATTTGACCCCTGGTGAGTACCTGGACTAGTGCCTGCAGTTTTCTTGGTGTTTTTTTTTTCAGAAGTGGTTTGCCATTGCCTCCTTCCTAGGGCTGAGAGAAAGTGACTGGCCCAAGGTCACTCTGCTGGCTTTGTGCCTAAACTGGGACTAGCACTTAGGGTCTCCTGGTTTCTAGCCTGATGCCTTAACCACTACACCAAACTAGCTCTCTATTCCACATAAGGTATGAACACAATAGAGACCATAACTCAGATGTTAGGCAGTTGTATATCTCACCTTGTATCATGCACCTCCCAAAGGTGTAGAATCCATTCAACACTCTCTCTGTGTGGGTCAATAGGAGGCCCATCAACAATGTTGATCAGGAACAATGAGTGGGATGTTCCTAGATGCTGTCAGGTTGTTAAATCTACCAACAGCAGATGGGTGTCTCTATCCCAACCTCTACAAGCTTTTTGCTACTAGGGAGAGATAGAGAGGATGGAATTCTTTCTTCCACCATAGTAGGACCTGGCTTCAAGATAGGACTTGAAGATGTGAGGGCAGGTGAAAGGGCTACTTGATGAGCTCAAGAACACTGATTCTCCCTCTGTTCATTCAGTTTATCTGGCCTGTAAAAGGAGGATTGTAGAATGGGTATTGTTGCCAGTATGGAAAGCAGACAGGCAGGGAATTGGGAGAGAGATGATGAGGCTAAGTATTTGGCTTGCTGGTGCTACCCAGTAGGTCTGTCCTGAGAAGCAACATTGTCAGGATTGTCATGCTGGTTACTGTAGATTGCATCAGAAAGATTGGTTAACTATAGTAGAATGAATAACGAATTCTCTATACTATTTGGAGTACAGGCTTGATTTTCTACTCATTTCTTCAATTTTTATGATGGCCTACTTACTAAGCAACTCTGGATGGCTTTCAGATGGTTAAAAAAAATCACAGTACAATTTAAAAGTCAATACACACAGTGCTGGGGGCAAATAACTCTCATAGTACACAGCTAAAGCAGGCTCATGTGACATCATGGCCCAGTGCTTAGGAGAAGAACCAGGTTTTTATGGCTTTCCTAAATGCCAGCAGGTTGGGGCCATCTGAATTTTGAGGGGGATGTTGTTCCCCAGGGCAGGTGTGGTGAAAGAGAAGGCGTGCTTCTCCTCCTGGGTCCCGTGAGGTATTGTAGTGGAGGTCTTCTCCCAGTACCCAAAATTGCTGCTGCTCCCAGTACCCAAAAAGCTAATGGGGCTATATTTACACTTTCTTCCTGCTGAAGTTAAAACTTCGGTCTGTCTCTTCTCAGTGCTCTGTTGCAAACAGCAGCCATTGGTGTCTTCAGTGAGTGTATGGTGAAGATGTGACACTATCAGTGAATCTTCTCATTAAATGGCACATGACTGGTGGGAGTCTAATGGTGTTTCTAGGGATGGTGTGGTCGTGCAGTTTTTATATTTTCTAGTTGTCTATTCCCCACCCTGTTCTCAGGATAAGCAAATTTAGATATGATGGACATTGTGCTGTAGTAGTGGTGACATATCTCACTCTTGTTCCCAAAAAACAAATCTCATACATACTATTATTTGTTTGGCTACAGGATGCTCCATCTATGTATTTATTTATTAACCACATTTCTATCCCAGAGAGTTGTTTGTTTGTCATTACAAAAGGCATTTGTTTTGTTTAGAATACCCATTTGATATACTAATCCCTTTAAATCTTAACCTTGACTTCAGTAGGTTTAAGATAATTTAACTCTGGACTATGGCCAGAATGTGAAGATAATTATGGGGGGGGGGGTTCTGTCTAGGAGATGATTTTTTGCAAAGTACACAGTGCCAAGCAGGCTGCTTTGATTTTCCCCATTATAATTTTCCCCATTAATCTTTTTCCTCACTAGAACGGTTAAGGTATCATTTTTTAAAAATCATACTGTTTGGATTAAAAGTATCAAACTTTTCTGGAATTTTTAAAGGACCGTTCTTTTATCTTTTCAAATACATGTTTTAGAAGTTGTCACCTAGCTGACATTGACTGAAATGTAGCGGGTTCTGCAAGGGCAAGAGAGGGGAAGAAAATTGAAAACAGTGTTGTGGTGTTGTGAAAGAAGCCCTCCCCTTCTCTGTGTACATAAGAGCTGGGACTTGTACTGCAACACAGTACAAGATTCTGCAGATGTCACTGCAGATGTCACAAAACTAAGCCATGTCAGCTCTGCTTAGGTGGAAGAAATCTAAGAAAAACCATGGTTGCAGCATAAGGTACACTGGAAAGTTGAAAAATCATCCCAGATGATGCAATGGCAAACTGCTTCTGTACTGTTGCCAGAAAACCCTACACAGACCTGCCTATGAAACCACCAGGAGCCAAAGTGGTTTTTACTTTAGATAGCTGTCCTTAATTAAAGCTCTTCCCTTTATAATTTTGCAACTGATGTGCGTGGGTGCCTACATACATCATAACGCTTTATGCATTTGACTGCAGTCACCAAACTTTACACCATACTAAATCTCAAAGGTGCCACAAGCTCTGGGTTAGCTGACTTCCGAGGATTGAAGAAAAGACATTCTCTGCCTCCTAGAAGACGCACTATTTACGCATTAATAGTTCCGAGCAGCTATGGATCGGTTTTTCTTTAAAATTAGGCTCTGATCGGGGTGAGCGTACACATAACTGAATCCTGTCTGTCAATTCAACGATTTTAAAATAAAATCAGCCAGTGATGACGTCCCCACGGTAGTACCCCTTTAAATCTCTATCGCACCTCCAAGGCCACCGTTTTCAGCCCCAAGCCCCGCCTATGGATGCGGGCTCCTCCGTTCCGGAAGTGCCACGTGTACCGAGTGCGCCTGCGCGGCCTCGTTTACTTTCTTCCGGTGTAACAGCGGGGCCTCCCCTTCTGGGCTTGGCGCTGGGGCAAGGCTCATAGACGCCCGCGTAGCAATCCTCTCGCTGTCGCTATGGCCCAGCCGGGAACACCCGCGTATAGCAGCCCGAACAGAACTGGGCAGCCACCGCCACCGCAGCAGCAGCCGTACAGCAATGGTGAGTGGGGCCGCCGCACCTGGGTGATGATAGGGGCCGCCGGCCCGCCGCGCTGTATAATGGGCTTGAATCTTGCGTGCCCCTGGGCTGTACTCGGCGAGGCGCGGGGCAGTCATGCCACGCCGCTGGGGGACAGCACGGCCGGGAGCGCGGAGAGTCCGTGTTGGCGGCGGCGAATGCCGACCCTCGGTTGTCGCCTCTCGCAGGGCTGAAGGGCTCTTCGAGGCGACGACGGGCTTTTTGCTGGGCAGGTTCCCTCGCTTGCATCCTAAGGCCTTGGTTTCCCTTCTCGATTGCACCCGTGATTGGAAGGCGCTGCGTAATAGGGAGGTCCTGGGAAAAGAAGGAGCAGCAGCAGCACTTGTAGCTCCTAGGAGGACTTGGGGGCACGGTAGTGATTGACGCTCTCCGTAAGGCATATGAACCGCTCCCTGGTGATACTCGTAAAAATGAAATGTGTGCCGCTTGAGAGTATTCCCAGAATTTAATACAAAGACACGGGAAGCATTTCCCAGAGGGAGAAGTACGTTAAATATGGGTAGCAGAATATATGGCGGTACCTGAAAAGCTTACACATCATTGCGGGTCAGATGTTGTGGTTTATAAATTATTGACTAGATGCGAGAAAGTGTATGTCTCTGAAAAAGATATGCGAGCGGTTTAAAATGCCACAAAAGTCGCGAATGTTTCTGTTCTGTACAGTTAATTGATCAATTACCCTTCTGAGACCGCTTCCCAGCTGAGCATTCTGCAGCGAAAATACTCTCCAGTTATAAAAAGAAAGCACTGTTGTGAAGAGAATTACATACAGAATGGATGCTGCTTTCTTTCTGTGATCAGTGGGTGTAAAGAATGCAGTGAATAATAATCAAAACCTCCTGGTTTAAAATGTTAATTCCACTAGTATAATCAAAAGATCTTTCATCTGACTAGTTGTTTAATTTTTTCTCCTTCTCTGTAGAGCCCAAACTGGCATCTGAGACTGGTTGGGGAACTGTATAAACTGTGCTTCATTTGTGTGCATACCTGTGTATTTTTCTGGAAAAAGTAAAGCAATAGCCAATCTTTAGCTCTGGTTCACTGTGCAGTTATGCAGTTGGATGTTAATAGCAATTTGTATTCTCTGTTTTTTTTTTTTTAAAGATTGTAGGTCTAGGAAGAGAATCAAGAAGTTACGTTAGTACCTACAGGAGTTGTGAAAATGGGATAGAATTTTGTTATTTATAAAGTTGAAACTAGGTAATCTGTGGTTCCATAAGTTGTGATTCTACAGTATAGAACTTTGTTCTTCCCCCTTTATTACACCAGTTTGAAGTTAATGATCATAGCTTACATTATGTGAGACTTTCCTATTGCATCTGAACTGTGGAATTCTAAATTAATATGAGTATCCTGAATTATAAGCTGATAGTAACACAAAGTTAGCCCGGAATGACATGATAAATCTTTAGCTTAATGTGACAGGATCTTGCACTGAAGCTGATGGGCAGCAAGTGGAGATGTAGGAAGAATACAAGCCAACAGTACTGTTTATAGTGTTATAAACTCTGATTTAGGAAGAGTAGCATTTGACCTTTAGATTCTTGGTATCTTGCAAATCAATCAAGACTCACATATAGGTATGGTGTGTGATTTTTAAACAATATGTTTGGTCTTGATGAAAATGCAGTCATGGTACAGTGTATTATCTTTAGCTGAAACAATTTTAGACTTGTATAGGTCTCAGATATTTTAGTTTGTCTATGTGGTATAATGATGATTTACAGCATTGGAGGATCTTAAAATTTGTGCTTTAAAGTATTTTAAATATTGTCAATTAAAATATCTACTTCAAAAATAATTCGTTATAATTATAACTTTCATATTTTTCAGCTGATATGGTATCCCAGGTAATCTGAATCTCTTGCACAGGATTCTGGATGTGGTTTGTGGTTTACCAAAATCACGCACAGCTTCTGTAGCACAAAGGCAGTCATTCTGAATAAATTGCAGTTTGAAATAGAACAATATACGTACAGAAGATATTAGGTGACCAGTTGATATAAGAATACAGTGTTGTTAAATATAGGTAATTCTGAATTAAGGAATTTGACTTAGCTCTTATAGATTCCACCTGTTTTTACAATCAGTAGGCCTAAACAGGAAACAAGTTTGTCTTATGCTAGACATAATAGTAAACCATGGTTCTCTGTTTCCGGCTTACCTATTCTTGCTTTACCCTTCTGCTTTTTCAACCCATAGAGGAGAGTGGCAGCATTCATTTTCTGTTTGAAAACTTCATTTCACTAATATTATTTAAAGGAATCACATTTCTGTCACTCCATAAAACTGAAGACAAGATCTGATGTCCTGTGTGAAAAGGAAGAGGAAATGGAATTGGGAATTGTATGTAGCAGAAATCCCAGTCTGTGATCTTCTGAGCATCAGAGTAAATTTTAAGTCATAACATTATTAGTGCTATTTTCCCTAGTTCCTGATGTTGAATATTGGTTTGAAAACTAAAGTGGCATAAAGAGTCATAATTGGAAGTCCAATTTGTTTCTGAGGTAATAGGAAGAATTTATGTTCACAATGCCCTGCCATTATTAGCCATTTTCTATGTGGAGAAATGGCTTTTGATCCTGAAAATTCTATGGGTATTGTATAGAATGATGGAAGCCTTTAAGCTTTTATACTTACAGCAAAGGAGATGTGGTCTAGACTTGTTACATAATTTGATGCTGTATTTAGTTATATGGGAATGGCACATCTTAGAATCTGATGTTTGAACTGGCACAGTGTGACCAGTATCCATCCCTCCACCTAGGGTACTTGTAAGTGTGACTTGCTACAGTTTTGAAAAACTAGAAACTTGGCTGTGGTGCCCCTGCGTGGCAATTTCAATATCAGTTAGATATTGTATTTTAAATCTATTTCTAGTAATTATTATTTTTTCCTTATAGGTCCTGAATTTAAACTTGCTCATGCTATACTTATTCTCTATGTTCTTATTTTGGTTGATTTAATTATAATGGCTTCTAGCCAGATGAATTTGATTATATTGTGATCTAAATCCATAGTCAGGAAGACTGAATTTAATTTAAATCACAATTTATTCACTAGAATATAGTAGTTTCTAATAAAATTATATTCTTCTTTGATATAACTTTGAATAAATGGTCTTAAGAATTCTGAGAAAGATAGGTATAATTTTAGATGTATAAAGTCAAAAATATCAGATTTTGATGTCTTACCCACAGTATAGGAACTTCATTAAAACATTCCCAAATGTAGTTTTATTAATGGTCGTCTGATATTATTCATTTTTACTAAATATACCTTTGGATGAGAAACTTATTCCTCAAATCCTTGAGGCTGCAGTAGTGTGTTCTGTTCCCTTTTTGTTTCATTTTGTATTCTGTTCTCCATTCTTTGCGTAGATTCTTTCTTCTTGTACAAATTATTTTCTTATCTCATATTCTCTATTCATTAACCTTCTTAGTCTTTGCACTTTTACAGAGAAGTCAGTTAACAAGCCTGTTAACATTTCTCACTCCCATATTAGAAAGCAGAATAGAATATTATAAGTAGTTATGTTCATCATTGTATCTTTATGTTAATTTTTAAGAAAACTTGTACAATGTAATTTTAAACTTGACTTCTTAGTTTAAATTGTTTTTTATCCATCATTATTCATCATTTCACTTTGGCTACCGTGTTTGCTATGCCGTGACAGTTGCGGTTGTTATTGATATTGGAGCTAGGTGTGTGGTGAATGGTTCTTGCATGGAGAGTAATAGAGCCAGAGGCTTGCAGGACAGACTTTGTTGCAATGGAAAGCAATGAAAATCTAGGTGGGGGAGACCGGGTCCCTCTGTCCTACCAGAGCTGGGCACCCTGGGAGGATAAGGGGACAAGTCCATCACTGCCAGAGCCTGCTGTGCCCGCTGTTGCTGCAGCTCCTCCTCATTGTGACTATAGGGTGAGAAGCATCTGCATCCACAGGGTGTAGGTCAAGGGACAGCTGCACTCCTAGCCTTAGATTGAGGTAAATTGCAAGCAGGGATAGGACCTACTGCCACAACTCTTGTTTGCTATGGCTTAAGGATGCATCAGTGTGGGGCTAGAAGTGCAGCTGCCCCTAGACCTGGCCTGCTTGAAGCTGTGGGCTTGAGAAACTTGCCATACAAGCTGCTGACATACTTCTGGTTCTCTCTGGCTGTATGTGTGTGAAGTGAGGGCCATCCGTTTCAGACTCTTGTTTCAAACTGCAGAAAATTTGAGAGGAAATGATTCCTACTTCCATGTGCAAATGTACAAGAACTGTGAAGAAGAAGGCTGTTCCTTCCCCAGGTCTTGTTTGCTATCTTTTGCAGGAGCACATTAATTTTATCTGGTTATCACCCAGAGCTTGGTACATGAATTGCTTGGCCAATTAAATTATACATGATTTGACTGGTTGAATAGTTTTTATTAGGCTGCATTTGGGGATCCAGAGCAGCTTTTGAAATATGTGGATTTAAAATCAGATCAAAAAATCTAAAAGTATTAGGACAGAGTAAGAGATCAAGCTGAAGATAGTCCTTTAGAATGTTAATGTTTAAGTAGTAGTATGTTATTGAAAATTAAATACATATGGCTGAAACAAATGGACTTGATTGTGGTACTCACCTGGTTGAGTTTTTATAACTTGTGACAAATAAGGAATGATATAGGAGGTTTTTTTTCAGTGCAGCTTGCATTGAATGTGGATGTGATCAGACCAGGTGTATGTGGGAAAGTGACCCCTATACTTTCCCATCCTGCTAGCCTCACCTTCCATAGCAATATTTTTTCCCCCTGGGAAAAAGGTGTCCTCTTTTGGAGGAAAAGATTCTTATTTTTTGTTACTTTTTATTGGGGTTAAAGGGGTTAAACAATCCCTTTTTGTTACTCTTCTGATCAAATACAGAATCCCTGTGACTGTAATAAAATAACAGGAAATATTGTTGGAAAATATGCTTAATCGGGCATGACAAAGAAGATGGCTGATGTGTTACTTTCAGTCAGTCCCTTCCCTGAAGTCTTGTAACATAGTGATCATCATCAAGCCTCCAGTCTTCCCTACTATTGACAGATATTGTTCTGCTCTACTTTCAAGTAATGGTTATCCTATTGACAAAAATGCATACTTTTTAAATTACATAATTTACCGTAATGCTAGTGTTGATGGTATTCATGGGTGGCTGTGTTTGATTTGGAATATTTCTTGACTTCTGCAGCACTTCCCTACTACTTGTCCCAAGCCATTGCTAAGGTTTCTCTTACTATGAAAGGTGGAGTATGAAAGGTACAGTGGAGTTGGGAGATTCACTTACACATCTTAAATATCTTGAGCTTTTATTATGGAATTATAGTTAATAATAAAGCTGTGGGATTTCCGAGTAATTTGGCAGTATGTAAAGTCAAATAAAGTTAGTTGTTGGCCTCATTTGCTTTATTTCAGTTACTGAAATATCCTAGGATTTCTCAGCAACAAGAATCTGTATCTCATTATTTATTAATTGAAAATGTCTTCCTCCAGGTCCTGTGCCAGGTTCATTGATGAATTCATCACACTTATCAGATGGACAGGGACATAATTCTTTGGTCCCAAGCATGTATACTCAGCAAATTACAACAAAGAATCCTCTTCTTGTATCCTCTGGACAGTATAGCCATGGTACATCTTGGAATGTTTCATCTGGTCAAACTCTTAATAGAACCCCAGTGGGATCTTCTCTGACAGCATCACAGCCAAGACCTGTTGCCCAAATGCCTTCTTCATTGCAGAACTCAGCTGCTATATCAACAGCTGCTATATCAACTTCTGATGGTAGTTTTTATTCTGGAAGTAATCTCTCAGCAAATTCAAACTGGCAATATGCGCAGAATCCTTTGACTCAACCAGCTGTAAGATCTCAACCAAATCATTTTGCTCATACAACAACTTCACCTTTGTTGCCATCAGGGAATACAAATTTGCCCACAAACTTTCATTATGTTTCTTCTGCTGGTGGTCCTCCAGTTCAAAACACCTATACAAGGCAAGGTAAGAAAAAAGAAGCAATTCTAAGACTGTATTACTGTATTCCAGGTAGGGAGAAATCCTAAGCATTATTCATCCCAGGTATTCTTGACATGCTTATGAATAATGGGTTAAACAGGATTGTATAAGTGGGCTTCTCCTAAAATAATGGGATTCCCTTAGTCTCCTTCTCCTCTGCAACTTCTAGGATTACCACAAATCTGTTCCAGAGGGATTCCCCAGCCTAAATATATATTCTTTCATGTCAAGGCTGGAAAACTGGTAACCCTCTCAAATGGGTGACAGTGCTACAAGTTGTAATTCAGCTACAATTTCCAGCAGCATCAACCAGTATAGCCAATGATAAGGAATATTATATCTGGAGGATTGCAGGTTCCTTACTCCTATAGGCTAGACAGATTATAGCTAAACAAATAAGATTTAAACCCCTAATTAATAATCATCTTGTTTTATTCTCATTAGCAACAATAAATTTTCTCGCTGTTGACTGTGAGTCACTAGCTAGAGACTGATTTTGTTATTTAGTGAATTTTCATTTATTTGATAGTTCTTGTGGCTAAGCAGTTTATAATAGAACTGTGTGGCATGGTAGGATAAAATATATAGATGGGCTGTATGGCCAGGTTGGGATTGCTTTTCTATTTTCCAGGGAAGAAATAGATCAGCAGCTTCTCATGGGATAATTGCATTGGGTAAGATCTGTGATTTTGCTCATGTATAACATTAAGCTTAGATTACTTCACTGTAGTTTTTTGAACATGCAATAGTGGCCTGGTTTGCACCTAGTACTAAACTGTAAGGGATGGTTCACATATCATGCTAACTAAGAAAAAAACAGTTTCTGTACCAAAAGAACATTACTGAGAGATTGTGTTGGATTTAAGTTCTGCTTGTTCTTGTAGGTACTGTTCCACTGCCAGCTAATCAGTTAAATTATTTGCCAGTTCAACCTCCTTTAGGACCTTCTGCAGTTGGAAATCCAGTCTATACACATCCCTCTGCTCCCCCATTAGCTCCTCCCCTAGCAAGCACTGCATCCCAAGCTGTACAGAACTCAGCAAGTATGCAAGAAGGTAAGCATTAATGGGGTTATTAAAGGAAATTGCTTTCAGCAAGTTAGAAACTAGCTGAATTATGTAAAATCAAAACTAATTGAATGTGATTACTGATGCACTCCAGTGGTGGTACTTTATTTAGAAGAAAAAGAAGTCTACTAACACCCTCAAAAGATTTAAATGAATGGTATAGGATAAATTTTTGTGGACCAAGTTTTTTTTAACTCCATTCATAAGGAAGGGCTGTGTTCATACAGTCTGCTAAGCCGTGATTTATTTTAATCATGGCTTATTGGATAAGCCATAATGGGCTTATTTACATATGCTAAGCCATAAATCATGATTTACAAACCACATTATGATATAAGCTGTAATCAACATTTATGTACTTCTAACAGATTATTTTCTTTGTAGGTGATGCTACATGCACTGCTAATGATGGATTATCAGTCCAGAACAATTACGATGCAATAGAAGGAGGTGGTTTCCTGGGTAAGATATTCTTTCTTCCATTTCCATTGTTCAAAAGTAAAATAAATAGAGAATTGTTTCTATTGTATCTGCTCATATACTGGTTTGAAACAGTTACACGACACAAATATACACTATTTTAGTGTAGAGGAAATATACTTTCTGGAACTGAAAACTGAACATATATTTATACATTATATACAACTCAATGCCTTAAAAGTGATATGGACACTTGTAGTAATTTAACAGATATTTAGCAATATTATAATACTTTACTGAGCAGCTCTATGAAGCCTGATTTTAATCAAGATCTCAAGGGTCTGTTTAAATAGGATGTAAGCAATTTGTTTAAGATGAAACCTCAAGACAAAGTGGCAAGTATAATTGATTAATATAATGAAATTGCTAGGTTGCTGTCAACAAAGCAAAACATTTTTGAAATTTATCCATTAGGAACATTGGACCTAAAACATTTTTCTTTGGTGTGGTTGACTATTAATTATAAATGTATGTCTGTTTAGTGTTAAATTAAAATTGTTCCTCCTACATGATTCATCCTTAGTTGTGTTCTTATAAAACAAGCACTGGGAGTGAAATACAAACCAAATGTCTTGCAGAATGGTTAGTTCAAAAAGTACTTGATTTAACTATTGTCATGCAGGTTATATTTTAATCAAATTTATACTGATTTATTTATATTTCAAATTTGGACACCGCCCATCTCACGAAGAAGTGACTTTGGGTGGTTTACAATAAAAACAACTATTAAAATACAGTAAAAATAGTATAAAATACAATAAAACCAAATATATACATAAATAATAATATCTTCCAAGGTACTGTTGGTAGAAAAGATATTAAAATATGGGAGCATCTTCAAGGTGCTAGCCACCCCCAGGGTTGGTTATCCCTTTTCTCGCCCCATGCAAGTTGGCAGAGCCAGGTCTTGACTGCTTTCCAGAAAGTCAAGAGAGTAGGGGCCTGCTTCACCTCTCGGGGGAGGGTATTCCATAGGGTGGGGGCCACGGCAGAGAAGACTCTCCTTCTGGGCCCCACCAGTCAACATTCTTTCGTTGACGGGGTCTGCAGCATACTCTCTCTCCTTGACCCAGTGGGATGGGTCAATATAATGGGGATGAGACATTCTCTCAGGTAACCCGGTCCCATGCCATGTAGGGCTTTAAAGGTGATAACCAACACCTCGAATGGACCTGGAAGCAAACGCCCCCAATGCAGCTCGCACAGCAAAGGTGTAACATGTGCCATCTTTCAGGCACCCAAAATTGCCCGCGTGGCTGCATTTTGAACCAGCTTTAGCTTCTGGATACTCTTCAAGGGTAGCCCCATGTAGAGCACATTGCAGTAATCTATACGGGAGATGATTAGGGCTTGAGTGACTGACTGGGGGGCCTCCCAATCCAGGAAAAGGCGCAACTGGCGCACAACATGTAGTTGAGCAAAGGTCCTCCTGGGCACGACTACCACCTGCTCTTTGAGCAGGAGTTGTGAGTCCAGGAGGACTCCCAGATTAGGCACCAGGTCTGTCTGGGGTAGTGCCACCCCATCCAGAACCAAAGATGGTAAACTTCCGGATACAGAGGAGCCCTCATCCCACAGCCACTCCATCTTACCAGTGTTCAGCTGAAGCCTGTTGTTCCCCATCCAGATCCCCACAGCCTCCAGGCGCCGCGAAAGGGTAGTCACAGCATTACTCAAATCACCTTGGATGGAGATGTATAATTGGATATCGTCTGTATATTGATGATACCTCATCCCATGGTGGCGGATGATCTCACCCAGTGGTTTCATGTAGATGTTAAAAAGGAGCAGGGAAAGTACCAAACCTTGCGGCACCCCACAGAGGAGGGGCTGCGGGCTGGACCTCTCGCTCCCTATCAACACCGATTGGGACCAGCCCTGGAGGAAGGAAGTGAATCAGCACAAGACTATGCCATCCACGCCCAACTCCCTGAGCCAACCCAAAAGGATACCATGATCAGTGGTATCAAAAGCTGCTGAGAGGTCAAGAAGAGCAAGGATAGATGTACTACCCCCATCCTGTTCCCACCAGAGATCATGCAAAAGTGCGACCAATGCTGTTTCCTTCCCATATTTGGGCCTGAAACTTGACTGAAGAGGGTTCAGATAATCCGTTTCATCCAGGATCCTCTGGAGCTGCAATGCCACCACTTTCTCAACCACCTTCCCTAAATAGTGGGGGGGTGGGAGACTGGATGAAAATTGTCCAGTATGGTGGGATCCAGCGATGGTTTCTTGGGGAGGGGGTGCACCAGCACCTCTTTAAAGGCCGCTGGAAACGCTCCCTCTCTCAAGGATGAATTCACCATTGCATGGACCCCCCACACATCACCTCCCAAGCTGCATTAACCAGCCAGGAGGGGCATGGATCTAATTGACAGGTGGTGGCATTTACAGCCCAGAAGACCCTGTCCACTTCCTCAGGTCCAACAGGATCAACTGTTCCCAGATAACAAGGTAAGTATGTACCCCAGGCATCTCCACAGGCCATGCCACGTGCTTGGTATCCAACTGGGACTGGATGCGAGTGATTTTATCCTCCAGATGCCCAGAAAACTCTTCTGCGTGGCCCTGTAGGTGGGTTACTGGGCCCACCTTTCCCAGAAGAGATCGGGCAATCTTAAACAGGGCTGCTGGGCAGCATTCTGTGGATGCAATAAGAGCGGAGAAATAATGACATTTCTCTGCTCTTACCGCCACAGGGTAGGCCTGAATAGTGGCTCTAGCCTGTGTTTGGTCAGATTCAGTCCTTGTTTTCCTCCAGCGGCGCTCTGGACATCTCTTAATCCTTTTCAGAACCCTCAACTCCTCCGTAAACCACGGGGAGTATTGGATTTGATGAGTCGAGAGGTCACACGGGTGCGATCTTGTCCAAGGCCTTGGCCACCTTCCTATTCCAGGTGGCAGCCAGGGCCTCTGCTGGACCATGCACCAGATCCTTGGGTATAGTCCCCAGCAGCCCTTGGAACCCCATTGGGTCCATCAGTCGTCAGCGGTGGACCAGTCGAATCCAACATACTTCCTGCATCTGTAAAAATTATACCTTACAATAATTGCTAGATATGTATGATGCTTGGTAGATTCGATTTAAATGACTAATTGGGGGGAGGGGGTTTAATTCTTTAAATTATGACTTACTAGTTTAAAAAATTCTATAATCCTCATTTCTAGTAAAAGTGCATTCTTCTTGTTTGATAAGATTTGAATAGTTTTTCTTCAGTATATGAATGGGCATTACTAATCAGAGATGTAGATTAGTAATTTTTCATTTTTGGAAGGTAAGTATCAAGCAGAATAAGACAGAATTTTTCTAGGTAATTTTACTTTAAAAACAAAATGCTCTTAGAACCAAGCAAGCAGATAAATACTTGTGATATTAGGAATCAAACCAGCTCCAGTTCAATTAATTGTGCATGTTTGGAAGATGTTTTTGGCTTCTAAATTTTACAAATCATGTTCTATCTAGCTTTCTTCAATTTATAATAAAATGAATTATTTTAAGAAAGAAGCACATATTCTTTTATAAGCAATTTCACCTTAAGTCAGCACAGCAAACATTAAATATTGAATGGATGGTGTATTCAGTCTTCATTTGTATCTTTCTCCTTATTTAGAATCTGAAAAAGATAGGCAAGCTTTCCTGATTTTCCAGTTATCGAATTGTTTCTTAATTTTGAGTGAATTACTCCAAATGTAAAAGCGCCTTTTCAATATGAGGAGAAGTTGGGTTTCTACTTCAGTGATCTCTGAGGTCAAATATTTAAATGATTTTCACCAAGTCACTGTTTGGCATGTTTTAAAAATATCATCAGCAAACATATTTATTGAATGGATCACCTTTGTTTAACAGACCTTGGTTGGTGGGGGGTGCTGTAAATCTGAATCTTCATTAAACTCAAATGAAATCTTGCCTTTCTGAACACAATAAACAAAAGTAAAACCAACTTTACTTATATATAATACATGAGAAAAAACAGCTTTTCAATAGTTCATGTTGCATTCAGTACATCTCATAGTTATGTTTTAGTTGAATTTACATTTTATGTGCTACCTTGTCACAAGCCATAGTTTCTGCTGTTATTTCACTGTCATTATCTGGTTGTCTTCTCCTTCTGTGGCATTTGCAAGACATTGTTCTTGGATTGCTTCCAGTTTGTCAGAGTTTTAAATGGTTTTGTAGAAGTAACTGACTTCTACAACTCTCAAGCTGCTGGTCCACTTCAGTGTTGTTAAGCAGGTTTTTCCAGCCTTTTGCCAATGTTTGATTTTTTTTAATGTTTTTTAAGTTGCAGCAAATCTGAAGATTGATTATTGTAATTTTTCAGATTTTTAGGGTATGTTGACATCTTACGTCTTTTTTTATCTAATTCATCCACTAGCGCAACCCTCATTTCCTCCCAAACTCTTTCTGTACAGTCTTTGGTTGCAAGAATGATCCGTTGGTTCACAGGCTAGATGATTAAGGTAGTTTGGGGGGCAATAAAGTGCACTTAAAATTTCCATCTTTTGTGCTTGGTATTTTTTCTGATGGATGGCTGGATTAATTGTCAAGAGTTAGGAAACCTTTCAGTGTGCTTAAGGGATATTTTCAGCACCTCATTCTGATACACTCAAGCTTTGGGGACAGAATGGCTGAAGAGCAGGTCTGGAAAAAGTGAAGATGTAAGTCATGTCCTCTGTGGATTATACAGTGGTACCTCTAGTTACGAACTTAATCCATTCCGTGACTCTGGTTGCAACTCGAGTTGC